TAATGTTTTTTGAGAAACTGTCAACTGTCCGGTCAGATACTGTACCTAAATTGGAAAAAATCTGGGAGCCGTGGATCACTTCCTACATTTCACCAACCTTCCATCTAGATACGCTCATTATCTAACTCCCCCACCACTCCCGCTCACATCTCTCACCCCTTCTGCTTTTCCTACCTACCCCCTTCCCTTGCGATGAGTCTCCTTCACAGGATTTGTGTTAAGGCAGAGTCTGAAAGGTGGTTTAGCCACTTCTTTTAACCTCTTGCCGTCCGCCCGTAGTAAAAAAACGGACGGACGGCACTGCAGCATCTGCGGGTTGCGTCATGCGATAGACGATGATTCGGTTACAGTTGTGTGGTTTAATATCTACTTCTAATATCTCTGTACTTGTACACAACAATGTATGATTTCCATGTACGTCTGACTTTATTAAGCTGTACGTACAGCTTTTGTATAAGCTATTTACGTTTGCACAATAATATCAAAATCAATAAAATTGATTGAGCAATAGTAGCTTTGTAATAATAACTTTGAATTGAATAATATTACAGAGGACAGTTAATAATACAACTATATGAAACAATGGGATATTAGCATATGGTTTAATTAACACAGCTGTTAAGAACCTTCTGCCTATAGCATCTGAAATAATTTTACAGATTGTAAATATTGTTTATTTTAGGCATCTTGAGGGATATGTATCAGAATGTAACAAGCTAATTTAATCTGCTTTTGTTGTAGCATATGCCTTTTATTATTTTAATCAGAAGTTCAATTATCTGCACACTAAAATTTGTTTCTTTTGCTGGACAATTTGGTATGCATTTGATTGTTAGGTATCATTACATGTATTAACTACATACAATTTTGCATGGTGGTGCATGATTTAAAATGGATACTGCGACCTCTTAGGGACTCCCCACTTGACAGGATTTGTATAGATTTGACTACAACAAAGTTGTATTTGGCAGCCGATGGATTTTTAAGGTGGGAAACAGACAGGAACTCTACAGAGACAGGCTGGGTAGATGACAGAATCCTAGGCAGCATTCACCAACTGAAAGCTGAGAATATAATTTGTAAGAGTTTAGCTGGGTAAAAAAAACTTGGTTGCATATTGGATTTAAGTAAGTTCATATTAGATAGCACAATAGCTTCCATTTGGAAAAAAAATATGACACTTCAAAGGAAAGTGGGATATTCACTTTAAGTGTAAGTGGATTTATGGTCATATACCAAAGCAACGTAGACATCAAACCCTGGGGCACGGGCAGCAAATTACTCAAATTACTAGATAGAGCAGGCTGGTTAGTTCCTTAATAGGAACTGAATGCTGCTAAGTCATCTAATAGCGGGGAAAGGCAAACTGTTGCAGGTGCAGAAAAAGGAGATAGAGAGAGGGTAATTAATCACGCAGCTAAATAAAGGTAGCATTTATATTTAGGTTCAGATGGCTGGCAGTCAGAGGGCTTTGGTAACTGAGGTTCAGAAGGTTGTGCTGGCTAGACAGTGGCAGGAGCTGATGACTGGGTAATGGCAGGCTCTGGATGCAAATGGTTGAAAAAGATTTGAATTTTGGTTGACTGTTGACTGGAATGTTGCTGGCTTTAGCTACAGTTACAGAGTTAAGGATTGAAATATTATACACAGGAACAGCAAAGCATGGTCAATGCTGCAAATGTAGAAAAAGATCTGTAGGACTTTGTTTTGTGTAGTTCCCATAAATATGTCCAGTCTAATAAACTCCAAAGCTTCTCTAAAAAAGTTCTCATATGGATGACATCTTGAGTTGGAATTGAACTGTTGTTCTACACTAGTGATGTACTGCAGCAACTTTGAAAAATTGTACCACATCAAGGTTTTTACTGGTGTTGTAAGGTTGCTGAAATAATTGAGGTTCCCATAACAGGCTACTGACAACATAATGTGATCAGGTTGTTTAGGTGGTAGGTCCTTTCTGAATCCCAGAAATCTTAGTGTATGGCTAAAACATTGTTCAGATTGACTTGTTTAAAGCTAAACTCTGGAAATAATATTTTCCTTGTTCCCTGAAAAAATAAGTTACCTCTAATGACTCCTGTGTAGTTTGAAAATCCTAGTTTCACTGAGGCCAGAAAACACAGACAGTGCTGTACTTCCAGCACTTCAGGGATGAAGAGCAACAGCAAAAGGCTCTAGTCGCATACCCACCCCCTCCCATCCCCTTATGTATTCACAAAAAGCCTTTTCTTTTTAAGGGAATACAAGGTACTCTGTGAATAGATGAGGGAAGATCCAGTCATTTACCTACCCTTTATCTCACTTTTTGTTAATAATTGAGGGGAGAAGATGGGCTGGGTATACAATAGGAGCCCTTTACTGTCACAGCCACTGCTCTCATCCCTGCAGCACCTGAAATAGAGCTCTGTCTGTACATTTTGGCATCGGTAAATCTAGAATTTTGAAAGAAACTACATGCAAGAAATCGGGACCCAAGTTCACCATCATCAGATAACTTTCTTCACAGAGCACAAGAAAAAAAAATATTTTTCCTGGAGTTCAGTTTCACGTGTGAGGTGAAATAAGGTAAAGTGTAGCTTTCTTCACCTCAAACATTCAATAATGGGCAGTTAAAAAAGACTGTAAAATGTAAACATCTCTAAGGCCAAAACACTTTTTTTTAACGTTTTGTATAGAGTGGTGAGGGGTTAGAACCCCTGTCAACTTTTATTTCTGTCTGTGTCCCTGTGTCACAGTTTTGAGCATGCCTCTATTCCATACTTATATTGAGAGTTAAGTTACAACAGTGATAGACATGTTGTAATTTTTTTTGGGATAAGGGTCCGAAAGCCAATTCGTTTAGGGATTTCGGATTTGGACAAATCCAAAATTTTAAGTTAAATTAATTATTTTATATTTAAATTATATTTATGAATGAATGTTCATTGCAGCAAAGTGACATTGGGAAAAAAATGACATCATGCAGTGATATAGATCTACATCAATCATGATGGACATGGCTGCCGACTCGCCAAAAGAAAAAATACTCGACGCCCGCCAACACGACCGATCCTGATAATCACTGGTCACAAAATGACTGCTCTGACCCAAATGTCAACAAACGGACGGAGCGGGTCATGACGTCACAGAACATTTTTCACTCCTTTATTGACATTTGGGAGCAGAATTATCATAATAACAACTCTGGTCCCGAATGTCAACAAAGGGACGGAACAAGTTCTGTGACATCACGACTCACTCTGCTCCTTTGATTACTATAAGCACCCCTGCCCGCAGACCCCACAACCACCAGGCCAGGGTTGTGGGGAGAGGCCCTTGTCCTCAATGACATGGGAACAAGGTGCTTTGCCAGGGCCCCCCCCTGGAAAAACACCCCCCCATGTTGAGGGCATGTGGCCTGGTATGGTGCAGAAGGTGGGCCACACACTCACCCCCCCTTTCCGACCCAGGCTGCTGTTCAAATCAAGGGTGCGGTAAGGGATTGTAGGGGAGATGCTAAAGGGTATGAATTGAGGAGAGGATTCCACACTTTTTATGTTAACTTTTAACAACAAATTTATTCAGAATTACAGTTGGAAAAAATGTCAGTGCACCGGACATTTTCATTATCGAAAATTTGGATATGTTCAAATTCGTTATTTTTTTCATTTGGAAATTCAGATGCATCCAAATGTCCACATTTTGGAACAAAAAATTAATCACACATGTCTAGTGGTAGACAAAGGGTTTTTTAAAACCCATAAAACACTACCATTTGGTTAATTCCACAATACCGTCCCTGAATATTAAGTTATAAATATTTTGTACTTTGGATACAAATAATATTGGTTGTTAACTGGAGAAAGGGACAAGTGTCTGTATATCTCTTTCTAATAGTTATATCATGGGTTAAAAAAAGACTTGGTTTGAAAATAATTATCTACTTTTAATTTCTTTGTGTCTTTATTGCCAGACTTACCTATGCCTACAACGGCTTCCTGTGTAGTATGATGCCAGATGCTGCCATTAAGAGAATATTTTGTATGCATTGTACTTAATACTTAATACCTTATTTTTTCATTGATCAATGGCAGTGATTGCAACAATATATTTACCAGGCATAGCAATGTATTTTGCATTCTTGGATTATGAAACCAATTTGAACTAGTACACATTGCTTGATGCACCAAGTGTGAAAAGAAAAATAACTTACTATTTAAAGAGGAAAGAACAAAAAAGGAGACATGTGAAAGAGAATGTGGAACAATGAGATAACTGGCTTACTTGGGGAAAAAGCAGAATTAAATGAGACAAGCAAAAATTAATGTCCTACATAGTTTTAAGATTGATAGATGAGAAAAAACACATACATATACATGTAATTTCCAATTTGTCATGTGTTTTAATATTTTTCTGTACAAAACAGAAAAATATCTTCAACTAGGAAACAATTGCTTTCAACTATATAAATATAAATATAATACTCCTTACAAATTATTTTATTGTCAGGCATCATGCACATTTAATTATTTCAATTTTCCTTTCCTACGCTGTGTTTTATCAGTTATAAACTGAAAAACAATCAAAACAACACTCCACACTTTCGCAAATGAGTGCTGAAGCATAAAAAGTGTGTTCATTATTATTTTAAAATATAGACATTATGACAACACTAACTTTCTCTGAGCTCCACTAACTCCAATATATGATGGCTATGCAACATAAATTTAAAAAAAGCCAAATGTCTGTATTAAGGCACATTGAATATGAATGCTAGAGTATTAAGCAGATGATTTCTGCATAATTTATAACCAGCATGGTGAATTGCATTGAAAGAGGTTTTTTGCCATCTGGGGATGTAATGGACTCCTAAATATGTTGGCTATTATCCTCTGTGTGTCTCAGTTAATTCGGCATCATTTAAAGCCTTGGTCTATCTCATTTTTTCCATTTCTCTTCTACTCTTCCTAAACTTTGTTTCTTTTCTTCTTCTTTAAATAATAATTTATTTTCTTTTCCAGGACACTGCAAAGAACCATCTGCACACCATGACAAGGAACAAGTAAAGATGAAAATTGGGACTGTTAAAATATTTCCTTGCCTACCAGTCTCATTAGATAAGTATATGTAAATATATTTCATCTTCTTTAACGTTCTGTTTATACATCTGAAAATGTTTCTTTCATGAGCAGTCAGTGGCTTTCTTTCAAATATATTTTGTTTTAGAAGGAACACTAAATACCAAATGTGCCAAAACACCTGCAAAAAAGAATGCCATTTTTTTTGGAGAATGTAAGGGAATATTTTGATATGATATTTGCTGGATTTATAGGAAAAAATAAGGTTACCAGAATAAATATATTGTACTTATATTAAATATTTTTAAATAAAATTATAGGTTTTAGCTGTTTATGGGAAGTTATAAATGACCCCCATGTTCTCAGGGATACTTGTCTTTGTGTTTATGACTCTACCACCTCTCTTCCTGTTTCATCCATAGTGATGTTGATTCCAGGACCAAAAAATGCTCCCACATTTGAACAGGGATTAGTTGATATATTTATATTGGACAAACTTGTAGTGCTGATGCTGAGAATGATTTTTTCCCAATCTGGCCTGTTATGGTTGGATGTATGTTGATCCCCATGTCTACCACTGTCTGGAGAAGAACTGATCCAGCTATATTTAAAAAAAATGAATTTAATTCTAAGGACATGTTAAATAAATGATTATGTAAATTTTCTATTACTGCAGGTTTTCAGTAATACTGCCTTATTACAAACTCTTTAGGAGCCATGGGGTTTGATTTACTAAAGGCAAATGTTCACTTTCCAAGGGAATTTTCACTTTGACTGGTAATTTTCCCTTAGCTTATGAACTAGACGATGAATACCCAATCAAGTGCAAGGGAAAACAGCATTTGACTGGAGTGATTGGAAGATGAAAGTAAACTGAGCTTCACCTAGTTTTCTAAGTCTATGGAAAATGTCCTTGCAAAGTAAACGGCCTAGTAAATCACCCCCATTGAGTTCAAAATGTTTATAAACAGATGTACAGTATTCCATTATTTTACTATACGGATGGCATTCATTTCTGCAGTAGAGAGCCATGAAGAGCCAAAGAAAATGATTATGGTACATGGTCTCTAATAAGGGTGCCACATGATTGTCGGTTTTGGCTAGTACACCACTTGGACTGCCCATTGTAAAAGAAGTCTAGAGAAAACACAAGCTTTATTAGGAAATATGTAGGGTGAACTATTTTTTTCCTCCGTCTCATCTTTGGTTCTATATTAAAAAAAAATTAAAAATATATTTTTAATAAAAAAATCAAATTTCAGCCTGTACTAGAAATAAAAATGTGTCTCAGACCCTGCGTTTGTAAATTCCTGCAAACATATTGGTCATTGTTCCGGCCC